AAACTTGCTTCTTTAATAAGCACTATATGATGTCACACATCGTAACTCCCATATTTGAATTAGATGCACAGTTGATATTGTTTGTTTGATCTTATATCATTAATTAACGATCTGCACATAACAAACATTAGACCATAAAATGATTCTTTCACAAATACTTAATTGTTATCATCAAAACATAGAGATAACATGTAAAGACAATTCTTGCTCTTACAAGTTCTAGCTATGGACACTTACTCTTATTTTCCCTTTATCCCAACCTTAGGATTTGAGTCTTCGTACTCTATGTAAGCGTCCTACCATGGACACTTACCTCCCTTTCAACTTAGCTTTAAGTTTGGAGTCGTCGCACTCCATGTAAGTATCTTGCCACAGATACCTACTTTTCTCCCTGGAACTTTGGCCACAACCAAGAGTTCCTCACCCTTATTAAGGGGAACTACGAATGTTCTGATTCCATTCCGGTCAGGATACGTAAGCACAAGATGCGATGTCTTGGCGAGCATACTTAGAAATAACACCTTAGGTCTCCTTTTACCTTTTCACCCTTTAGCAGACAAATAACGCATATAAAACAAGAGGTTTCTGTAAAGTACTACAGATACTTAGGATTCTAACACCTTCTCTAGGTATAACCAAACCCCGAACCTTAGATCTCCTGCATTGTTTTTATAGTGCAATTAGGGTTTTCGATCTTTACCCTTTCCTTTGGATAAATCAAAGCTCGGTGGTGAATATTTAAAGATTTGTGATTCAAGTTAATCAATAACTTGATATCCGATTCTCACTGCAACAGTCATTCTGTCATTTGATTTTTCCCTGATTCTTTATCGAATAAAAAAACACCAAAACATGATAAAATGGTTCAAACCCTAAAATACATTGATTATGGACTATGGTTATTATCCCTTGCATGGAGTTTTGGACCTTGTAACTAAACCCTAGCAAAAGGAGACTTGAAACCGTATTCTGCATTTTTTTTATCTCAGCTTAGGACACCATTGCACATCATTCATATCTTACTCTTGAGCTTTCTTACAATGAGACTTATTCGATCAATTAATTCTAGCTGGTCGCTTAAAAGACTAGCCCACTTTGTTATTACACGTGTAGTTTATTTTTGGGTTGTGTGATGATCCCCATTTGAAAAAATGTATTCCCACTCCCATGACGTGTAATAACTTTATCGCTTTCCTTTATTTTGTTTATGTCTTGCCATTGCATCACATAAACCATTTTCAAAATAATTCCCGATCCAACGTCGAGCCATTTTTCACCTTTTTAAGTCGATCGCTTTTAAAGTATCGCCATCAACTTCATGGTCACCATACACAACATCCATAGCTTACTCTTAGACTTTCTTACAGTGAGACTTATTCGATCAATTACTTCTAGTTGTCGTCTAAAAGACTAATCCACTTTGCTAGTGCACAAGTAATTTAAATTTGATTCATTTGCTTTATCGCTTTTTTTCACTTGCTTATTTTTGTCTTGTATGATTTATAAAACCAAACCCAAGCATTCTTGATCCATATATCAAGCCATATCCCATTTTTGTAAGTCGACCTCTTCATGTGTTGCCATCAACCTTTCCCGTTTCCATTTCAAACCTCTTTTTCAACTTATCCCGCAATAAAACCCTTGACCCAACATCAAGTGGCATTTTCTTGAATAAACTTCAAAAATACAATAAAAGGCGATTAGGATTGCGTGTCACGAGCCTTAAGTGGTGGAGAAGAGGTGAGAATGGAGCCTCCCTACACTCACTCTGATTATTTCGACACAAGATATTTGTCTTGGTTGCTTGGAATGATCACCTTTACCCATAGTCTTTAGCGCAATCCAAATCAAAAATAATCTTCTTAAAACCTTAAAATCAACTTCAACACATCAAACTTGTCTTTTCTCGCCCCCGTGCTATTGGAACTTCTCAAGATACTAAGTCATCTCCCCCGTGCGATCCATAACTGAAGTACTTTTTCAAAATAAAATTGTTTAGTCCCTTCTTCCGCGCGTATAAACTAGTACTTCAGCCTCACCTAGTGAGCAGACAAGCCAACATTTATCAGTTAGAATGCGAATTAAACACGCGTTCGTTAAAACACACAAACCAACCAACCGTAGTTGCCCGAACTACGATTGCTCTGACTTTCTCATTGCACTATAAGGGTACGTAGGCATAAGATTGCTAGATCATAACAAGCTACCTTTTCTTTTCTATCCAAACCTTTTTCCCGTAGTCCTTCGAACTATGAACGCTCTGATTCTTCATTACATAATTAAGGTACGCGGGCACAAGGATCCCAATCCTTGACGAGTACTCTTGTAAATAAACCACCATTTATATATAACTATCCCTTTTTCCCCTTTCCCTTCGTTTCTCTTTTTATCATTTGAAGAAAGAAAATAAACATGTGCTAAAATTCGATTTCTTATCTTTCAAAGGTTTTACGTAATTGACTCCCGAACCTAGAATATGGTTGCTATGACCATTTTCTTATCTTTCAAAGGTTTTATCGATATTTTCCCATTCCTTCATTGGGATGAATAAAATCCGGTGACGAATCTGTCCGAACAAATTTTTTTCGCGTCCCTCACGAAGGATCGTATTTTTTGAGGTACAACTATAGGGTGAGGATATCCCCCACTTATAAACACATGTTCATGCCATATATTATCCGATGTGGAATTCTTAACAACCTACAACAAAACACTAAACATGACATGGTATTTAAATTGATACTTCAGCCGGTAGAGAATGGTTGAAGAGGAACATATGGGCACAAACTTTTGAGATTAAACAATCTCCACCTTGCACAAATTCATGACATTGAAATAAACTTCAAGAATGAAAAAATTTAATCGACTAAACATCATACTATATTATAATAAAATTCTAATAATCTAAATTAAGTTGTTGATATAACTTACATTTTAACATATGCAGTATGAGCGTAAAACTATAGATCCATGTACACCAAAGATATTGTGTATCTATGATGTACTTCAACATAATCATCCTAATAAAAGTTGATAACAACCATTATACATATGTTAAAAAAACATGAGTAACGATGATAACCAAAATAAAATTTAAACAAAATAAAATAACCGTCATCTTACGTGCTATAAATTTTTAAAAACTTCTTTGAAAACAACATTTATAATACACTTCAATGAGTGATTATCTTTGTCACATATTAATATCTTAAAACCTTTTTTGTTTTTGACTCTTGATATTACAACATATAGTTGATCATGACTAAAGACACTCCTAGACAAATATAATCAAATGACTTACCTTGAGATTTGTTAATTGTCATAGCATAACACACACTTATAAAAAATTGACTTATAGCCAATTTGAAGGACCATTGAGACTGTGTAGGAGTAATGTCCATTCTCGAGATATAGCTAATACCTCAAATATTCTTTCCAGATATAAGTTTTGCTTTAGTAACATGATTTGATAGTCTTGTAACTATAAGCCTTGTTCCATTGCACAAACTCTTTGATTGATCAATATTTCTAACCATCATAATAAGTGTGTCAATCTTCAATTTAATCTTGTGATTAGAAAGACCCAAATTTCTAAGGGTATTCAAAAAATCCGGTCTTAGAACATCAAATACTTCATTACCATCGTCATTAGATATGTCCATAGAATCTGTACTTAAATACTCATTTTCTTCTCCAATAAAAAATAGTTTGCAGTTATGTTATTAAACAATGTATATATATATATATATATATATATATATATATATATATATATATATATATATATATATATATATATATATATATATATATATATATATATATATATATATATATATATATATATATATATATATATATATATATATATATATATATATATATATATATAGTTATTGACTTACCATAATTACCTGGAATGAATTCTAAAATGTATTGATTGATGACATCCATAGTCTCAATCGTATATGTTAAAATTGCTCTCGATTGCAAAAAAAATTCATTCTTGTAATTGTTTTGAAAGTTTGGATATGTGCTTTAGCGACTGCTTCAAGTGGATCATCATAATCAGTGATTAATAATTGGCAATATATCTTTTTTGATCCCTTAACTATACCTTTAAGTTTAGATTGATCCCTTAATTATTTTTTATGTCAGATTGGTCCATTAACTTTTTAAAACGCGTCATGTTAGTCTTTTTTGTCTAATTAGCCATGAATTTTTTTTAAAATAGGTCGCTAAATTTGTCGCTAATTAGACGAAAAAGACCAACATGACACGTTTTAAAGAGTCAAGGGATCAATCTGACACAAAAAATAATTAAGGACCAATTTAAACCTAAAGATATAGTTAAGAGACCAAAAAAAGTATTTTACCTTAATAATTTTATTAGGTTTTGTTAATTTTCCATCGCCAATTTTTAATATCCAGTTAGAAAATTGTTCTAATTCAGATGCAGTTGAATTCACGCTAGATTGTAGTCGCATGTTCTTTGTAAGTTTCAAAACTACACAATGATCTCAAATGTATGATGAATTTATCGTGTCATGTATTATATCTGAACGACTGTCCACTTTTTGAAATAATACAAGTACGTCGAAGACCGTAAGTATTCTTAAGTGTACATCCACTCTTCAAACTATAAAAAATAGTGAGTTAAATGAGCCGGATTCGATGGGCCTAACCCATTTTATCACCCCTAATCTTATATATTAGTTTGAATGGATTCACGTGTTTAAAAGATTGAGGTATCTGAATGTTTGTGTAATTATCCTTAGTTCCATTGCAGAATTTTTCACCTTCACCAATCAATCCATAATTAAAATAAAATATTGGGAATTAACTAAAATGAACTTAGGTCACTCTATTGGTTGAGCTCCCGATCCCAATGCAGAATAATGGTTTGTGAAGATTTAGTCCAACCCTCATCCAAATAGTTGTAGCAATTAACGTCCATTACTTGACCTCTCAATCTAGATTCTGTCCATCCCATCCCGTTCATGGATCTTAAGCTAAACATTTCGTATCCCTTTCTTTCAATCAACGTGTTGAAGTTCAATACATCATGTCCCAACACAACCCTAACCCATCTCAACTGCTTAACTTCCCCGCAACCATCACCATCCTCTCTGCATTTCGATTCAACCCCATCCCTAGTCTCCTACCTCATCCACAATTTCGATTTCTCCCCACAATCCGCTTCCAAACTTTGCTCCACCCACCGTCTTGCTTTCAATACCACCCAAAAACCTGACTCTCTTCTCAACTTGTTCACAAACTACGGTTTCTCTAATTCCCAGTTGCGCGACATCATTGCCAAGGCACCCTGGCTGCTTTCCTGCAACCTCTTCAAAAGGGTGTTGCCAAAGTTTCAATTTTTTCTCTCCAAAGGTGCTTCTAACCCTGACATTGTTAACCTTGTCATTAAGGACCCTAAAGTCTTGTGTCCAAGCCTGGAGAATCATATAGCCCCAACATATGAATTGATTTATACATTCTTGCAATCAGATAAATACCTTATTGCTTCTGCAATTCAGAATCCAAATTTACTCTGTGACTATTTTGTGCCGCGTAACATTACATTGCTGATTCAGAATGGAGTGTCTGACTCAAATATTGCCAGAATTCTTCGGACTTGGAGTATGACATTGAGTGCGCGTGACATGGTGAGTTTATTGGAGGAATTAAAGGATTTGGGGTTTAATCCTTCAAAAACATCTTTTAGTGTAGCATTGATGGCCAAAACAACAGTAACCAAAACCAAGTGGAAAGAGAAAGTTGATGCGTTTAAGAACTGGGGTTGGTCTGATGAAGATGTCATCGAAACATTTAAAAAGCAACCTCAGTGTATGTTAACATCCATTGAGAAGATTAATTTTTTGATGAATTTCTGGGTAAATCAATTGGGCTGGGATGCTCTGGCCCTTACCAAACACCCGCTGCTTTTTGGCTTTAGTTTAGAAAAAAGGATCATTCCAAGGGCCTCAGTTGTGCAATTTCTTCTCAATAATGGTTTGAGAAGTAAGTCTGCAAGCTTAGCTTCTCCATTCACAGTGCCTGAGAACATGTTTCTTGATAGGTTTATAAAACGTTTTGAGAAGGAGTCTTCTTATCTACTAAAGTTGTACGAGGAGAAACTCAAACTTGCATGTCATGATTAGATTTTTCAGGTATTTGAGCCTTAATGTATTGTTGTTCCATATTTGATTTGAAATTTGTTTGGTACAGACTGTGATTGGAGCTAGTTTAGGGGTAGGGATGAGGGAAAGTCACTATGATTTTCTCTCTATCTCTATCCTATATTGTTGGATTTAAAATAGTTTTAAGTTTTGTTTGTAATCATGGACAAACATAGCCATAGTTATGTGGTGGCTGTCTAAATGTGTAGACCTCTCTGATACATAAATATTGGAGCTACACTTGGTTTTGGATTTGTTGACTGCAACTATTTAAAATACTTACCAGTTAGCATTGTACTTTAGATTGGTGTTATTTCTAAATCCTCTTCTTTTGGTTCTCTGAACTTCAGTGTTTCATTCCAAGGGAAGAATTGTGTAGTTTCTATTACTGATGTTGCATTGTATTGAGAGCATGGGATTTACAGAACCGTGCCTCTTCGTCACACTCCGTGCACCCTTGCAGAGGTTGGAAAATGAAGACATCTGGTTACATTATTCTTTACTGCCTTCCAATGTTTCTTCTCCAGCTTTTTGTTATTTGGGTTGGCCCTCAGTTAGACAAGAATATTTTACAAGTACAGTTGGCTCCTCTTCAGTGGCAGGGCTGTACTTAACCTTTACTTAGTACTGTTCTCCTTGGCCTCTTAGTCGGTTATTGAAATTAATCATCAACAAAGGGTGTATACATTGTTGTTCTCTGTTTTGTGTTTTCTTCCATTAAGGATTAGTTTTCTTGGCTTTTCTTGCACTTGTATGTTGTTCTGGGTTGTGCATGTGCACACTTGTGTACCGTCCAATTGCAGATTGTTTAGCACTCGGAAATCTACAAGACTTGGAGGCTAGGACAAGGAGGTTTAATGATGAACATAATGGTACAATATCCTGAAGATAATGTTGAGGAAAATGCTCCGTCTAGTCCTGGTAGGTATTCTGATGAATCAATTTCATTTCGGGCAACACCTCCCGGATCTCTGCCTCTTCCAGGTTGTCCCATGCAATCTCCAACCCAAGTTATTGGACCATAGCAGCTAGTAACTGAATATCAATTTTTGGGTTCTGTTTGCTAGTGTTTTTGCCCTTGAAATTATTGAGTACATCTTTTTTTTTCTGTGCTGCTGCTATCTTGATAACTTTTTCCTGCCGGGTTGTATTTTTGTACTTTAGATGTTAGAACACCATTACTTACAATTATATATTCTCGGTTTGTGAAATTTCTGTGGTATAACTTTTGATCAGACTAAACCTGTTATGTGTATGATTTCTCCAGTTAGCTGTCTAGGCTCACAATTAAAATAGAACTTTGCATAATAGAACTTTTGATCAGACTAAACCTGTTATGTGTATGATTTCTTCAGTAAAGCTTTGATTGCTAAAACATCAGTAGGCGGAAAGAGAAAGTTGATACCTTTAACAAGTGGGGTTGGTCTGATGAAGATGTCAATGAAGCATTTAAGAAGCAACCTTATTGTATGTTAACATCCATTGAAAAGATCAATTTAGTGATGAATTTTCCGGAAAATCAATTGGGCTGGGATGCTCTGGCCCTTGCCAAACAACCGTCGGTTTCCAATGTACTTTTGCTCCTCAGCCAGTGACAAAGATATGAACTTGAAGTTTATTAGTCACGCGATGGAAACATTTGTATATTTTTGTTTAGTCTTAGAGAGTCAATCAACTAACAATTTAGTAAATTCACATATTCCAAAATGATTGAAGTTTCAAATTTTATTCTTCGGACTATGTTTGAATCGGTGGTACTTGATACTCCCTCCGCTTTTGTTACAAGTTAATTTGTGAAAAAATTGTAGTATATCTGTGGGTCCGCATGCAGGGCCTCCCCCGTTGCCAGTTGTTTTTTAGGTGATAATGTTGGATTTGTTATACTAACAAAAATGAATTATAGTTTATTTATTTTGTTTTGGAAGTTACATCGGTATGTAACATCATTTATATTTATATTTATATTTATATTTAAATGTAATGTAAAGACATAATGGTAACTTATCATTAATTAGTTGTTTATTTTGATATAACATAATCGATTACAGCATAAGTCAGTATCACTTCTAAGAAGCAGAAAAGTGAAGATTTCGCAGTTGTAATTGGATAACCTATGACGTTAACCGATTACTATTGAATAAGACTTTATTTCAACGTCAACTGCAATAATCACTTCTCACCCTTGACGTTAATCGGTTAACCTGTGACGTTAACCGAATCTCAATCATAATGTAACCTTTTTTTATAAATGTATAGAATGCATTCTCATCCTAGACTAATGCAATAATCCCTTTCCACCTTCAATTCTCTCTCTCTCTCTCTCTCTCTCTCACACACACACACACACACACACACACACACACACGCACGCACACACGCGCACACACACACACACACACAATTTTCCTATTTCACTCTCCACATTCTAATTCTCTTCACATTGTTTAGCAATCTTGTGGTTCAAAGTTTCAACAATTGACATCAAGAGTTTTGTTTTGATCCACAAACACCTAGTGTACAACATAAATTCTATTTTTAATGGAAGAATCTCTGCAAACATACATATCTTTGGTGCGAAGAACTATGAAAAATGGTGCAAGAAAATTAAGGTGTTGTTTGCCTATCAAGATGTTATTGAAGTGATTAAGAATGCGGTGAATCCTTTTGTCGAAGGTGTAACAAATGCATAACAAGCAACACATAAGGAAGAGAAAACGAAAGACTTCAAGGCACTATTTTTGATACATCAATGTGTTGATGGTGACAATTTTTAGATAGTTGGTGACTGCGAATCGTCAAAGCAAGCGTGGAAGATCTTAAAGAAGGTCTATGCAGGGGATGGCAAGGCAAAGGTGGTGAGATTACAAACACACAACCATTAACTCGAATTGATTCAAATGGAAGAAAAGAAGACAATCAACGATTTCACAACAAGAATCACTTGGTTGATAAATCAAGTCATGGAATGCAGAGAAACTTTTACAGAGCAGTATGTTATCGTGAAAATATTGTGTTCTTTAGCACTAAGATTTGACAATGTAGTTGTGGTGATTAAGGAATAGAAGAATCTTACAACGATGAGCTAAGAGGATCTGCAAATCTCTCTTGAGGCTCATGAACAAAGGATGAAGGAGATAAATAATGAAAAGGAAAATGTGGAAATCACTTCAACGAGAAGGACAAGAGATGGAAAGAAAAATGACCCATGAAGAGAAAAGGGAATATTCAAAATTTTGGTGGAAGAGAGTCCCAAATTCCAAGAATTCGACTTGTCAAAAGAGTGAGAGAAGCTGCAAAAAAATTGGTGGTCAATGCAACTTTAGAGGTGAGAAGAAGAGGTTTAACAAAAGCAAATAATAGTGCTTTAAGTGTCAAAGGTTCGATCATTTTGCTAGAGAGTGCAGTATGAACAAGAAGGAACCTCAAGGAGATGAAGCCAAGGTTGTAAGACAAGAGTTTGATGAAGAGAATACACTCTTGGTCATGATCACAGAAGGTGAATGCAGCAGCAACAATTCAAGAAATTCTGGAAAATTGATCAGTAACCAGTTACATGATACGGTTAACCGGTTACATGCCGAAGAAAACACAATGATGAGTACGAAAGGAGTTCGGTGCAACGAGGAATGATACTTAGACTCTGGTTGTTCTATTCATATGACGAGGAGGAAAGATTGATTTGTTAAAATCAATTATGCCACGAGAACAAAGTGAAGTTCGCGGATGACACCACTCTAGCGGTCGGTGGGATCGGGGTTGTTTTGATCATGAGAAAGAATGATGAACATTCCTTGATTAAAGATTCTTTGTACATTCCAGGAATCAAATTTAACCTTCTAAGTATTGGTCAATTGCTTGAGAGGTTACAAGATTCACATGGAAAATAAGGGGTTGTGTGTTATGGATGCAAAGGAAGTTTTGATCCTTAAAGCGCATGCCAATAGAACCTTCAAGGTTGAGGTGAAGGTTATGGAGTATAAATCTCTTGCTACTGCATCCAGTAGAGAAGAGTGGATATGACATTATTTTCTTGGGCATCTCAACTTTAGATATCTCGAATACTTGCAAAAGAACGAGATAGTAATAGGGCTGCCATCGATCAACATACTGGCTAAAATTTGTGAAGAATGTACGCTCGTGAGGCAACATAAGGGTAAGTTCTGCAAGGATGCAAATCGTAGAACCAAGAATCACCTCCATGTGGTGTATTCGGATGTGTGTGGGATGATACAAGTAGATTCCATTGGTGGTAATAAGTGCTTTGTCACATTTATCGACAACCATAGTAAAAAGATATGAACATACCTAATTAAAAGAAAGAATGAGGTATTTAAAGTGTTCAACAATTTTAAGTTCGTGGTTGAGAGGCAAAGTGATCACAAACTCAAAGTGCTCAAAACAGATGATGAAGGTGAATATGTCTCAAATGACTTTGAGAGGTTGTGTGATCTAGAAGAGATTGTACATGTGGTAGTACTACCTTATTGTCGCATTGCTGCGAAAAAGGACCGACAAAGACAGAAGAGTCGCCACCATTCGTTATTTATCCAAAAGAGAGGGAAAGGAAACGATCAGAGAAAACCTACGAAAAAGGGAAAAGACAGGTCATCGCAACCAAATCTCGGGTTCAGGAGTCGGTTACGCAAGGGGAAGGTATGAGCACCCCTCACGTCTGTTGTACTCAACGAGATCCACGCTTGTTGTCTATCTAAAAGGGATGTTAATCTATCAAAAGGCTGGCTCACAGGGACAAAAGAAAAGAAAGGAGACTCGATAGAGCATCGCTGCTCTATGCTTACATATTCCCTTGTGCAATGGGAAAGTCAGAGTCAACGTAGTTCAGAAAACTACGGGTGAAGGGGGGAGGTTGCTCGCCAAGACATCTCCGTCTTGTGCCTACGCATCCTTATCTAGTATGAGAAATCAGAGCAAACGTAGTTCGGGATGACACGACCACATATTGGTTCATGTGTTTTAATTGA